GGCTTTTTGTATTGGTGCATTTTGGTCCTCAACTTTACATTTTTGCATAATTTCGGCCTCTTTTCATTTCCTCTGCCTTGTTCTTTTTTTCTTTAGTGATTTTTATCTATAAAAGCATAAATTACATAATCGTGGGTAGAAATACACTAATTTAATCAATAACAATTTTAGTTTAAGTATTAAATTAGTGTGCAAAAACACACTCATCAATTATTTCGTCCTTTTGTGAGTAAGATTGAGAAGCAACCGAAAAGAATATTTTAGTTGTGGGTCAAAACCATTTGGATTGATTGTTTGGTAGAGAAAGATAATGTGAAATTGAACCCGAAAATCATCGATTCAAAGATTTTAGAGCGAGATTCCGCAACAATTAGCCTACATGAACTATCCATGTCCATTTTTAACATCTCCAACTTACACGTGATAAGCTTGACTTAGGAGCTATGTACATGACAACTAATATTAGATATTGGATCTCTCTTGATTTTTCTTGCAATTTTCATAGAGATAAATTAATTGTGCGATCAGCAAATACACTTATTGTGAAACCATTTTGATTAAATGTTGAAAATTGGTTTAAATATGAGAGAATTTGATTAAGAATAAAAGTGAAAATGTGACTTTCTTGTCAAGTTCGGCCAAATATTCGGACTTGGTCTGATAGTCAAATTACAAATGTAATAAACTAACTTGTTCTACTTGTCGAGTAGATCATTGTGATATATTTGGAAACTCAAAACAAATTTTAGATGAATGAGAAATTACGGTCCAAATTTGAAAAAAATGAGGAAAAACTGGCATGAATTTTTGCCTAACTCCTTCGCTCACTTATCTCCCGTAGCTCAAGCGACAGGCGGGGAAAAAAGGTTTTCTTAAAATTTTGACATTGGTGTTTGAGCAAGCGGTTAAGGACGGGCTAGTGACAGCAAGTGATGCTTCTGTTCGTGAAATTGCAAGGTTTGGTAAACAATATTTCACCCATAACCCCTCATTCTCTATAAATATGACCATTTGGACGTCCATTATGCATCCCATGTCACTTGTGCATTGAGTATTGCTTCAAAACTCTTGCAAAACATCTTCATAATCATTCAAAGCCATAATTCCTTGTAAAGAGGAAAAATTCTATTCAAAGTTCGTTGGAACTTGTGGTTTGAAGTACTTTTACCACAAGTTGGATTGTTGTATATTGGAAGACAAGTCTCGTGAACCGTTGGAACCATTGTTGGGCAATTTTATCTTAAGGAGAAAGTGTAATTACTTGCCTTAGATCATCTTTTCACCTTCATTTTACTTCCTTTCTTCTTCTTGTTTTCTACTTCCATAAAGTTTAATTATGTTCCTAGGATTTTAAACCTTTTAACGTTGTCTTCGTTTGTTCATTACTAAAGAACTCTTTCATCTCCACCTTATTCTGACACAACAAGCTTAATACAAAATTCTATCTATGGTTGTTTGTGGATACAACCTCGTGATCTTCATCTTTGGAATAGGCTTTACGTGCTATTCCCTTCATATTGTTATTACGTTAAACTTCTGTTTGTGTAACAGAAATGAATACCATGGAGATGACTTTGAATAAAACAACCAATGGTACGAATAATGTGGTTCCCCCTTTGGCTATGCCACTTTAAAATACTGCAATCCCACATGGGGAAAAACTGAAAAGTTTGGAGGTATGGATTTCAAGAGATGGCAACAAAAGATGTTGTCTTACCACTCTAAACTTGGAGAAGTTTCCGAAAGAGACTACTAACAGTACAAGAATGTGAAAATAATCGTGAATCGATTATTGTCTTCGATGCATGAAAGCACTAGAACTTCCTAAGCAAAAACTATATACTAAATGGATTGGACAATACATTGTATGGAGTGTATAGTTCGAAGGACTCGATCAAGGAACTATAGGATTCATTGGAAAAGAAATAGAATACCAGATGCTGGAACCAAAAAAATTCATAGTCAGCAAGTTCGTGGACTACAAGATGGTAAACTCCAAAATCATGATTAGTCAAGTACAAGAACTTCAAGTTCTACTTCATGATACACACGTCAAAAATATGGAGTTGAATGAATCTTCCAAGTTCCTGCCATCATTGAGAAACTCCCCTCCTATGTGGAGAGATTTCAAAAACTATCTCATGCACAAACTTAAGGAAATGAACTTGGAGGAGTTAATAGTCCGCTTGAGAATTGAATAAGACAATAGGAAAATCAAGAAAATATCTATTATCCAACTTGGAGCAAACTTTGTTGAAATCGGTTTGAAAGTTGTTAACAAGAAGCTCAAGATCTCTGGTGATGTACCGAGAAGAGATAACTCCAAGAAAGCCAAGAAATTTAAAGGCAACAATTACAATTGTGAAAAGACTGGACATCGTTCAAGCGAATGTCGAAAGTTAAAGAAGAATGCACAAGCAAACATGA